GCTGAAGTGTCGACCATTTCTGGCCGGCAGCTTTCAGCGTCATTAAGCCGCTGCGCCACCGTGTCCCCTTTACAGTACTAATAAATAGGGCTAATGGAAGGGACAAAATAAGAACCTGACCACATCCCTGTATATAGACATAAAATATTTGACGTGATTAATTGTCCATTCTAAGATAGATAGATAGATAGATAGATAGACAATCTTTTTAAAAGCCTATGAAGTGTTTTCCTAAGAAATATGGGACTTTAAAGAGTGAAAAACATCTATAGCAACTATAAGCAGGAGGTCTAAGTGAAGGACAATGTAATATTTAACTCAGCAGAGGTAAAAGAATGTATGTTAATGTTATCCTCAGAAGCAATGGATGCAGAATTTTCCATATGCCCAGAACTTGAAGTGGATCATATCTATTAGGGTCCTGAAAAAGTTGCACTGGGTCTGAGCACCAGTGTATGGACATAGGAAATGGAGTGTCACTGGTGTATGAAGGAACTGTAGGCCCATGCCCAGAAATCTCAATCTTATTTTGACCATACAACTTCTTGACCCTCACTTGCACTATGACCATGCTTTTTGTCTTACACCTTCAGAAATGATACTGTACCTTACTCCTTGATTTCAGATTTGGCTTGGAATATACTTCTACATTATTGACATTTGGGGGGATTCCTTAGCCTACCTAATTGCTCTTTGTTTATTCCTTTTGTTCATCAACTTTGCAGGATATAACAGACAGAAGCAGAATAACCCCATAGAATACAACTCTTTGTCCAAAGTAAATTCTATTCCTATTTCTGTGGTGCGTGAGAAACTGGCCATCAGTTTCTTTTTTGTACTCACTTGGTAAGGTATAGAAATTTATAAAACAAAGTAATTCAGTTAAAGTCCTGTGTTTGTGTGTGTGTGTGTGTGTGTGTGTGTGTGTGTGTGTGTGTGTGTGTGTGTGTGTGTGTGTGTGTGTGTGTGTGTGTGTGTGTGTGTGTGTGTGTGTGTGTGTGTGTGTGTGTGTGTGTGTGTGTGTGTGTGTACGGGAGAGAGAGAGAGAGAGAGAGAGAGAGAGAGAGAGAGAGAGAATGCAAGAAGTTAACACTATTAACAGTATTTAAGCTGTTTTCTCTTAGTAGTTAAAATATGAGTTTCCATAGATTGTGAAACTGGTTCTCCTTCCAATAAAGATTTATTTACTGGCATTTAATTCATAAAGAAAATTGATGGTGTTAATTAAGCATTAATCAGGATACTGATAGATACTTATAATAAGCAAGGTTAGTGCAGTTAGCTTTCTGTTTCTCATTTTTCCTCTTAAAATGAAGTCCAAAAGGAAAGACTTTTCAGACCTAGGGCAAGGGAGAGATGTATCTTCTCTTATCAGAATCTCAGCCCAGGAAGTCTTATCTCAGCAAAAGGGTTTAATATTTACTTTTTATGACAGTTAAAGGGAGGGAGGTGGATGAATATTTGTATAAATTGCAAATGTGCCAAGAACAGAGTATTTGTTCTTGAGTTAAGATGAAAATTTTATTTATTTAAATAATTTATAGACCTGCCCATCTCACAGCAGTGACTCTGGGTGGCATATAAAAAATTAAAACCATCATAACAATATATAACTCATGATGCCCTGTTAAAACTATTGTCTCCAGAACCAAAAGCCGTGTCACCAACAAAGCTCATCACCAAAATTCTGTAATCTCCTTCCTTCCTTCCTTCCTTCCTTCCTTCCTTCCTTCCTTCCTTCCTTCCTTCCTTCCTTCCTTCCTTCCTTCCCCATTTTTGCACAAGCATACTGAATCTGTTAATAATATTGAATTATATGCTGACTATCTATCCACAAAGGGGGACGCGGTGCGCAGCGGCTTATTGACGCTGAAGGTTGCCGGCCAGAAATGCCTGACGCTTCAGCAGTTCGAGTCCAGCCTTCGCGTTAAACAGGGTGAGCTCCTGTTTCCTCCCCAGTTCCTGTCAACCCAACAGGTCGAAAACTCACGTGAGTAGATAAATGGGTACTCTCACTCCGGTGGGAGGAAAAATGCTGGCGGTGCCTTGGAAAGAAGTCGGGAGCAGTTGCCGGTAAAACGCGAAAACCGCGCTCGCCCGGAAAGGGCGCGAAGCAAAGGAAACCCCGCCTCCTGCATGCACCAGCTGGTCTCTGCTCTAGGAAGGAGGCTCTGGCAAACCACTTCCGAAAAACAATTGCCTTGAAAACTGCAAGGACTT